TGATCCCTCACGCACTCCTCCTTGGTGCATCCTATCAGTAGGAAAAGAACTTGCACTAAGGTGGATAGTACTTTCATAAATAGCGATCTCTGCTAACTTACTAAGTATTGGCATTTTAAGATTTTACCTCTAATTGTAAAACAAAAGTTGGTTCCTGTGAAGGATTTTCAGCCAGGAGCAAAAGAGCTCAAACCATTTAGATCTGTAGATATTTAAGTGCCTAGTGCAGGGGTGGGCAAACTTTTTGACTCGAGGGCCACAATGGGTTCATAAACTGGACCGGAGGGCCAGAACAAAAGCATGGATGGAGTGTTTGTGTGAACTAATACAAATTCAAAGTAAACATCATTACATAAAAGAGTATGGTCTTTTTTTTTTTTTTTCCGTTTTATTCATTTCAAACGGGCCGGATCTGGCCCGCGGGCTGTAGTTTGCCCATGGCTGGCCTACTGTATGCTAGGTACTGTGCTAATTGCCAGAGTCACAGTTAACAAAACACCCAGGCTGCATGGAGCTACCTAATGTCTTACTGCCTGCCAAGATGGTGAGGCTAATCTTCACGCCTTGCCTCTATAAGGGAGGTTGATGGGGAAGCAGCAGGGCCATCACTAGTTCATAGGGATGATCAAGTCTGAAACTGCTAGCTCACAGCTTTAGATAGAAAAGAGCTCATTTTTGTGACACCCAGAGCCTGCCTTCTGCTAGGTCCTAGGATCTGCCAGCTTGCCTAGCAGAGAGCGGGCTCTAGGGTCTCAGAAAGATAAGCTGGTTACATCTCTTCGCAAGTTGGGTCTCTGCCTGCCTGTTCTGCCCTGTGTTACTTAGGTATATTCTTGTTGCTGTCTTAGCAGTTAATGTGATGTATATCTTTTGTTGTTAATCCTCACCCAAGGATATTTTTCCATTGCTTTTAGAGTGGAAGGAAGGGAGGAGGGAGCAGGGGAGATAGGAACTTTGATGTGAGAAACATTGGCTGCCTCTAGCATGTCTCCTACTGGGGATCAAGCCTGCAACCTGGGCATGTGCCTTGACTTAGGATATAACCTGAGACCTTTTGGTGCATGGGACAATACTCAATCAACTGAGCCACACTGACCGGGGCTAAACACATTTTTAAATTATGGTAAAATGCATAACAAAAATTTACCATCTTAATTTTAAGTGTGCAGTTTAGTACAATTCAGTATAGTGTTAACTATATTTACATTGCTGTGCAACAGATGTCTAGAACGTTTTTATCTTGCAAACCTGAAACTTAATATCTATTGAACAGCTCCCCATATCCTCCTCTCCCATGGATTTGTGCCTTTAAAAAAAATGGAAGCCTAGCCAGTATGGCTCAATGGTTGAGCATTGACCTATGAACCAGGAGATCACGGTTCGATTCCCTGTCGGGCATATGCCTGGGTTGTGGGCTCCATCCTCAAGATGGGGCATGCAGGAGGCAGCCGACCAATGATTCTCATCATTGATGTTTCTATTACTCCCTCTTCCTCTCTGAAATCAATAAAAAAAATTTTTTAAGTAATTTAAAAGAAAAGGAAAGTTGCAAAACTGCCTGAGCAGCAAGACCTCCCGGGGCTTTCCGGGGCTGTTTGAGAAAGCTCACTCTCATTAAGGGTCCGCAAGTGCAATCCTATGACTTCAGCAGAGCTTTCGACCTGCAAGGAGTTTTCCCTCATTCTTGACCTGGGTCTGAGCCCTGAACTTCAGGGAAACTCCTCAATTTGGATCAATCATTGCTTATATTTTGAAGAGTTATTTTTGTGAATTAAAATTTCTTCAGATTTCATTTCCAACTCAGGTTAAATGTTTTCATAGAGAAATTTTGTGTTTCTATTACACTAAAACCACATGTACAACAAATACCTCTATTAAATAGTTTAAAATCTAAAAAAAGAAAAAAAAAAGAAAATGCAGGTCACACAGTTCTTGAAACCTTTTACCAACATGTGCTTATGACCACCTAAACTTGTAGATTTTTAGGCCCCAACTCCATGCCATTGTAATCCCAAACTATATCCTATAAATGATTTCAAATAGCAAAGAATCTAAAGGATTAACTTTTTCTGGAATGGAATAAGAATTTTGAAATGAAATTCATGCCATACATGAAATAGTGGTCATTTTATTATTAGGGCTCAAAATACTTCCTGGAGCTGCAGTTTGCTTAAGGAAGTACATTCTCAAGCCTGGCGGGGCCCCAGCCCACAAGGCAGACCTACAGCTGATGGACTGACTGGGGTCTTGTGCAGCCTGGCTCTGCCCCATGTCTGAACTGTTGCTGAGCAGAAATAGTTTGCAGAGGGCTGTTCAGTTCGGATCTGTTTGCCCAGTGCTCTGGGCCATGAGAAATTGGGTTAAGAGCCTCTGTGGGAGAATAACAATGTAGAAAAAGGGGTGTCGTCTGTTGGGATCCTAAAGGAGACCTACAGACTGGCTTGTTACTGTTGACTGGGAAATCCCTTGTTTTGTGTGTAAAGCTCTGCGCTGTAATTTGCATCAAGTGTTGGAAAAGAGTACATATATTCTAAATCATTTTCTTTTCTCCCCTTGCAGGAAGTGCTCAAATATCACACACACACACACAGAAAGAGGAAACGGATTGGAACTTAGAAGTCATGTGACTGATGACTAAGTTGACTCTTTCCTACTTACTGAAAGGGAAGAAGAGCCTGAGGATGAGTTGCTGGTTCTCCTTGCATTTGTAAAGTTTTGGAGCTATTAAATCATGTTCCCACTTATGCTTTTTTCCACCCTGTTTTCTTCCACGTTGCCTGAACCCGGGGAGCACTGGATCTGCAACTCCTCTGATGTGAGCCTTTGGTATAGCTACTGCGGTAAGTGCACAGCAACAAGTGGTTGTAGTGCCAACTATTTCGAGGGTGTGTTTTCACAGGAACCTCATTCTGCTGTGGTGGGGACACAGGAAGCGTC